GTCAGAGAACATACTCTGTTAAGATTTAAATCTTTCGAAACTTATTTTATGGCCCAGGACATAATTTATTTTGTTGAATGTTTCGTGTAGATTCAAAAAGGACATATATCCTACAGTTGTTGGTCATAGTGTTCTACAAATATCCATTAGGTCAAAGTGGCTGATGATAATGTTCAGTTCTTCTATATCCTTATTGATTTTTAAAATCTGTTTGTTCTACAAATTACTGAGAGGGGATTTTAAAATCTTCAACTCTGAATTTACAGATTTTTTTCCTTATTCAATGCTTTAAATTACCATTGTTTCTGATGAGAAATCAGCCACCATTTGGTTCACTGATCGCCTGTATGTGATGGGTCTTTTCTGTTTTTTCTTTTTTTTCTGGCTGCTTTCAAATTTTTCTCTTTGTCTTTGGCCTCCAGAGATTTGATTATGATGTATCCATGTGCGGTTTTGTTTGTGTTTATCTTTTGTGTTTACTCATTGAGCTTCTAGAATCTGTAAGGTTATGTTTTCTAGAAAATTGGAGGACAGTTTGACCAATATTTCTTTATATATTTTCCTCCTCATTTCTCTCCCTCCTCTCTTTCTGGGACTTCAGTTACAGACAAATTATGCATGATATTGTCCCATAGGTCACTAAGGATCTATTCTTCCGAAAATATTTTTTCTTTCTTTTCTTCAAATTAGATAATATCTACTGATCTCTCTTCAAGCTCACTACCCTTTCTTCTGCCCACTCCAATCTGCTGTCAAGCTTATCCAACAAGCTTTTCATTTCAGATATTTTATTTTTCAGTTCTAGAATTTCTATTTGGTTCTTTTTTATATAGTTTTCATTTCTCCATTTTCCATCTGTTAATTCACTATGATCATATTTTCTTTTAAGGTCTTTAAAATAGTAACAACTTTAAAGGCTTTATCTGCTAATACCCTCTGGATCATCTTGATGTCTATTTCTTTACTTTTTTAAGCTACTTTACTAAGATATTATTACCATATAAAAAAGTATACATATTTAATGTATGTGACTTGATAAGTTTGGAGATAAATACACATTCATGAACCAGCACCACACAAACCATAAACCTATTACCTGCAGGGTCTGTTTCTATTGATGAATATTTCTCTTGTGTGGATAACACTTTCCTGTTTCTATGTATATACAGTAACTTTCTTTTATTATAGATATTATAAATGACGTGTTGCAGAGACTCTGAATTCTGTTACCTTGTTCTCTAATGTGTTGATTCTTGTTCAAGTAGGTTAACTAATTAATTTGGTTAGACTCAAATTCCAAATTCTATCCTTGGTGGGTGGCAGCTGAAATCTCTGCTCAGTCTTTGTTAAATTATTAAAGTTGCATGTTTGCTGGCTCCTTAGAATCCCTTCCATATATGTGAAGCTCAACGGTGAGCCAAGGATTTGTATGGCATTTATTTGCAAATTTTGGACCCTTGCCTTACAATTTCATCCTTTCTGGGCTTCCCCCTCATTTTTCGCCTTTATGACAGTCCTAAGACTCTGCCTTGCCCCTGCATCTCATGGACTGCGAAGCACCTCCAGGCCAGAGGTCATAGACACATCAATCTCAACTTTTCAGTTCTCTTCTTTCAAGATCAACTCCTCTTTAGCTTTGGCCTGCTTATCAATTTATACCTTCAAATAGTTGTTTTCTTAAAATATTTTATCCAGAATTTATAATTGTTATCTTCAGGGGGGTTAGTCTGCTATAAGCTACTCCACTATTATTACCATAAGAGTAACTAGGCCATTATTTAGTCTTGTTCCATTACATGGTCTTTATCAGAAAGTAAAATATTTGCTATTAATATTTCTACGTTACTTGTTCCTTAATAATCTTAAGCATTTATATTTTTAAAAACATTCATTTGTTCTATTCCTTCTTCAAATGGGATAATGAGAACTACATGAGTTTTGAATTATGTAATGCCTTCAGGATACTATACAAAAATACTTACAATATATGTTGTAATAAGTGAAAAATAACCCATAGGAGGTCAGAGGAAGAATAGATCAAAGATGACGGAGGTTACCTTTAAGCTAATTGTTAAAAGGTGATAGGATTTAATAGCCAGAGGTGAGAGAACATTCTAAAAACATTATAAGCAATGCAAAAAAGTGAGAGGTTGGAGGTTCAAGACTTATTTGTTATAGCTTAAGTATAATTTATAACTCAAAATCAATACTTAAAAGTTCATGATGTGGACGTGCTACTACACAACATATGGGTAAATCTCACACCAATTTTGAAAGAAGAAAGCCAGATACAAAGATGCATACTGTAATAATCCATTTATGTAAAGTTAAAATACAGAAAAATAATAGCTGGTAATAGAATTCAAAGTAGTGGTTGTCTTCAGGTTATAGTTGTGACTGGGAGGGGACATGAGAGGGGCTTCTGGGGAGCTTGTAATGGTCTACTTTTTGTTCTGGATTCTGGTTACCCAGAGTGTCCACTTTGTGAAAACGTATCAACTGACAACCTTATCATTTATGCCTTTTCAAAAATGAACATTATACTTCAATAACATATTTATGTTAAAAAAATGCAATTTATGATGAAAAAACTTTATACTGTGCATTTCCTCATTTAACTCATTAATGCCTCACAAGGGCCTTATGGAAGATCAGTGATGCTGAATGTTTATGTGGAATTAGATTATATAAATTTGGAACACCATCATATAAAATAATAATAATAAATTATTGCTTTATACACAAAATTGCCCAAATTTTCAAAATGAAATAAAATTTCATTTTTTTTTCAAAACTGATGCAGTCTCAGTGAATTTAAGATATATTTATGCTGAAGTTTCCACAAAGAGGCACTACTTGAGTAAATAAAAACACCCCGTATTGTTTAGGATATGAGTTTAGCACATGTAACAAATGACAGTAGATTAAACATGACAGTAATGTTCTCTTTGTGTCACAGTTCGAGCATAAGCAGCTTGTGGCTGATGTGGTAGCTCTGCAATGTCAGGTGCCTGTGCACTTTCCATTTTATTGCTACATCCTCCTGAACAGGTGGTTTTCCATCTTGTGATCTAAGGTGACTGCTATGCTCCCATTACCATGTCTGTATTCCAACAGAATCATTACAATTACTATACCACTGGCCAGAATCTTGTCACAAAGACATATGAAGCTGCAAGGGAGGCTGGGAAATGTAGTTCCTGGCTGCATAGCCACTGAAAGTCAGCCAGCAGTCTCTGCATTCTTAGAACTCTTTGTTGGATTGTCTTGAATTATATGGGTTCCGAGTTATGAAATGTCTCTAGGAACAGATCCCTTACATAACATTCAACTGCGCCATCAATAAGAACATCCCTATTTCATAGGAGATAAAACTGAGTCTCAGAGAAGTTAAATGACGAGGCACATTACTAGTTAAATGACAGAGCTAGGACTCAAATCCAGCTTTCCAAAGGATCTTTGCTTTTGTGTTACAGATGCCTCTCTGGGCAGCTTTTTGTCTTGCTGCAAGAATGCTGGTAATCCTTAGTCTGAGAGAAAGGAGTAAATTCACTCCTACTGTGTCTGATTTTAATGGCACTGGGAAAGCAGAGGGAAAGGGGACAGAGTGGTAAGGCCTTTCTGTGAGGACATAGGAGTAGAGCCAGCGATCAGAGCTGTATTTGGCTCTAAAGGTTCAAGAACTCAGGAAACAAGAAAATATAGTAAAAAGCACTGGGCCATGAAGCAGTTATGTGCATTTTTAGTTCTGCCTCTGAATGGAAAGGCTTTTCAACTGTGCACCCTAACTATTTTCCCTTCCAGAAATTTAGTTTCCCTATCCATAATATGGGGAGGAGGGTTGGGGCAGGGTTGCAGAATATGGTTGTGTAAGCTTAAATTCACTATGCAGAAGATTCTGGAACAGAGTAGAGGGTCACAGCATGGCTCCAATCCTCATCTCTCTCTCTCTCTACCACTCAAAAACACTACTAGTAAATTATCAAAATATTGGGATCTCAGATATACTACAAAATCTGGAGTGAAAGCAATCAAGCAGTCACCCGTATCTTTTTTCTCTTCTGACAAGGGGACTTGGAAGAAACAAGTGAAATTGTAAAGTAAATAATGTGTCTGATTCTCCTGAGAGAAGTGAAGTTGTTAGGATTCCACTGAAATGTTCCATGCCCTGGAGTTAGGAGTAGGGAGGGATGGTCTCATCTTCAACTGGGTAGAGCAAACCCTGATATAGGATGTTCATCAAAATCTTAAGAGAGGGAGAAGAACCTACATATTTTAACAAAGGCTACATGCATTCTAAAACAGAAGTCCCCCCACCCAAACTCTCAGGTAAGAGAAACTCAGAGAAAACCCAAAATACCCAGTTCTCATGGGTTGTCAGGAAAGAAACACACTGGTACCAGAAAATGGTGGAGGAGATACTATATAAGAGCAAGTAGAATATCTAGGCAGAGCTGCCCAAAGATGAAGGAAGGGAAAAGAAATGATATGGTCACTATACTGATTTATTATATAAATGTCAGTGTTGAACCCACAGCTAACCAAAGAGAAGGAGTGGAGGAATAAGGGAGAAACATGGGCTGCAAGAGACAAAGCCCAACATAGAAAAGATATAACTTAAGGAACAGAGGAATTTTCTCACAATTTCTTCACATAGTAGCACAGCTTAATAGGAACATAAATTAAGTAAAACTAGAGCTCAACCATGAAATGATGAAATAGCAGAACGAGATAAAATGGGAGGTTGCAGATAAATTGAATACCAAAATACTTTATGAAACTAATAAATAAACTATAAATAGAAAGAACAGAACAGACACTGCTAAATATTGAAATATTGACATGGAGAAAAGACTGTAAGCATAGTAAATGCAGAGGAAAAGATACAGAAAACTAATTAGAAGCTAACAGATATGCATATTAATTTGTTATAGGCTAAGCTGTTGTAACAAAATATATATATATATCTCCTTGAACAAATTAGTTTATTTCTTACTCACAAAACAATCCACAGGTGAGAAGCCCAAGCATGGCAGGATAGCTCTGATCCACAACATTATCCAAAATATGGTTCCTTCTCTCTGGATGTTCCATTATCCCATAACTGACTCCCCACACCCATGTTTCAGCCTGTGAGGATAAAGATTGTCCAGGACAAGCACTCCAAAGAGATGGCCCAGAAGTCACTCATATCACTTCTCACATCTTATTGATCTGGATTTAGTCACATGTCCATATTTAGCCACAGGGGACATTGGGAAATGTAGTCTGTAAGTGGATAGCCATATGCTCAGCTAAAACTCAGGCTGTTGTATTCTAAAAGAAACCAGGAAAGAACAAATAGTTAAGTACCACAATATGAGAGATAAAGATGAGCCAACATTTAATGACACTTGGTGTCCCTAAAACAGAACCCAGCAAATGAAAGAGAAGATATATCCAGTCATATAATGTAAGAATATTCTTCAGAAGGGAAGAAAGAACTAAATCTGCAGGTGGAAAGATAATGCTGAATACCAGGAAACTTGGGTTTAGAAAATTTATTATAAAGATATCTCCTAGTTAAATACCTAAACTTCAAAGACAAAGAATGCTTCCAACATCCAGGCAAAAAGAAAAATCACCCATAAGAGGTAAAATAGTAGGCTAGCTAGCATCAGATTTTACACTTTTCATTGTACAAGACAGTGATGCAGTAGGTTCTAGTCAAGGCAATCAGACAACACAAAAAGATAAAAGTTATACAAATTGTCAAGGAGGAAGTGAAACTCACTATTTGCAGATGACATGATATTATACATAGAAAACCCTGAACACTTCACCAAAAAACTATCAGAACTAATAATTGGATTCAGCAAAGTTGCAGGATGCAAAATTTAAACACAGAAATCTGTTGCATCCCTATACAGTAACAACAAAGTAGCAGAAAGAGAAATCAGGAAAACAACTCCATTTACAATTACATCAAAAATAATAACATACCTAGGAATAAATCTAACCAAGGAAGTGAAAGGCCTTTACTCTGAAAATAATAAGACACTCATGAGAGAAGTTAAAGAAGACACAAATAAATGGAAGTCTATCCTGTGCTCATAGATAAGAAGAATTAATATTGTCAAAATGCCTATTCTGCCCAAAGCAATTTACAGATTCAGTGCAATCCCTATCAAAATACCAATGGCATTTTTCAATGAAAACTAAATCAAATAGTTCTAAAATTCATATGGAACCACAAAAGACCCTGAATAGCTAAGCAATCCTGAGAAAGAAGAACAAAGCTGGGGGGATTACGCTCCTTGACTTCAGGCTATACTACAAAGCTACAGTAATCAAAACAATATGGTACTGGCATAAGAACAGACTCGTAGATTAATGGAACAGAATAGGGAGTCTAGATATAAACCCATGCATATATGGTCAATTAATATATGATAAAAGAGTCATGAATATACAATGGGGAAAAGACAGTTTCTTCAATAACTGGTATTGGGAAAATTGGACAGCTACATGCAAGAGAATGAAAATGGATTGCTGCTTAACTTCATACACAAAAGTAAACTCAAAATGGATCAAAGACCGGAATGTAAGTCACAAAACCATAAAACTCTTAGAAGAAAACATAGGAAAAATCTGTTTAAAAAATGAGCAATTTTTTTCCTGGACACATCCCCTTGGGCAAGGGAAACAAAATAAAAATGAACAAGTGGGACTACATCAACCTAAAAAGCTTCTGTAGAGCGAAGACACCATCAGCAGAACAAAAAGCTATCCTACAGTATGGGAGAATATATCCATAAATGACTCATCTCATAAGGAGTTAACATCCAAAATATATAAAGAACTCATACACCTCACCCAAAAAATAAATAATCCAATAAAAAAATGGGCAGAGGACCTGAACACACACTTCTCCAAAGAAGAAATCCAGATGGCCAACAGACACATGAAAAGATGCTCCACATCACTAATCACCAGGGAAATGCAAACCAAAACCACAGTGAGATATCACCTCACACCTATGAGAATGGCCAATATCCAAAAGACAAAAAATAACAAGTGTCGGTGAGAATGTGGAGAAATGGGACCTGCCTACGCCGTTTATGGGCATGTGGATTGGTACAATCACTATGGAAAGCAGTAAGGGAGTTCCTCAAACTAAAAATAGATACATGATTTGACCCACTAATTCCACTCCTAGGAATTTACTTGAAGAAAACAAAATCCATGATTCAAAAAGATATGTGCACCTCCGTTTATCACCACATTATTTACAGTAGCCAAGATATGGAAGCAACCTAAGTATCTGTCAGAAGATGAATGGATAAAGAAGATGTGGTACATATACACAATGGAATATTATTCAGCCATAAAAATGGAAATCCTGCCATTTGCAACAAACATGGATGGATCTAGAGAGTATTATGCTCAGTGAAATAAGCCAGGCAAAGAAAGACAAATATGATATTACTTATTTGTGAAATATTTTAAAAAGGCAAAACAGAATGAACAAAATAGCAATAGACTCATAGACACTGAGAAGTGACTAGCGGTTACCATTGGGGAAGGACTGGGCTGGGTAGGTGAGGAGGGTGAGGGGGATAAAGGGGCACAACAATTCTCAATCATAATATAAGTTGGTCATGGAGATAGCAGTACAGCATGGAGACTATAGTCAATGCTTCTATAACACCTTTCTATGTTGACAGATAGTAGCCACACTAGAGAGGGTGAGAATTTAGTAATATGGGTTGCTGGTGAACCACTGTGTTGTATGTATGAAACCAGTGTAAGATTGTATATCAATGATACTTCAATAAAAAAAAAGAAGAAAAAAATGGTGCTATGCCTACAAAGTTTTAAGAAAAGAAAAGATGACCACAGATATAATTCAGGCATAATGGCTCAGGGAAGTAAAATACCCATGAAGGCTTGTTGGAAAAAACTGCTTGATAACCGAAGCCAGGCAATGAAGAAACCATCGAAACAAAGACTCAAACATAGAGAAGCCATAATAAAGGGCTGTTGGTGAAAACTGGGTCTATTTACATGTAGAACTAATGCTAAACAATCATAGCAATTATGGTTTCAAAACAATATGAATTTTATATATCTGGACAATGCAAAAATAGTAATATAATCAAATTATTAGGTGTTGAGAGAGAGGAGATGGGAGTAGCCAGAGAGTCCTCATGGTTTCATCTTTTGGGGATAAGTTATTAAAAATAAAAACATGATAAAAACAAGTTGTTTTTCAGAATCCCCTTTATTTAACCATGGTGTAAGGTTCTACAAACTACTGCCTGAGGGATGACCACCTGTTTTTGTAAATAAAGTTTTACTAAAACACAGCTTTACCTGTTTGTTTACATATTGACTATGCTACTTTCCAGCTGTAACAACAGACCTGAACTGCCTAAAATATTTACTACATAGCCCTTTAAGATAAAATTGCCAACCCTTTTAGAAGGATATTTCTTAATTCACAGGAATCTTTTGGAAAAGAAATATTTATTTGAGATTCAAAAATTTGTTGGGTTTAATTCAGGCTTTCCCCCTCCCATTACATTCATGTCAAATTAAGTTTAATAATGTAATATAAATCCTACCTTTATAAAATGATCTATCAATCATTCCAAAGATGTCAGGGATAATGGATCACCTAATGGTATTTGGCATGGTTTCTTAAACTTTCATTTTTGTGTTTTTCTGCATTAAATGGAACTTTATAATGAGCATATATCACTTTTACTAGAATAATAAAATAGAATCGTTTTTCTATTTGAAAACTCTGGAAGCAAATACACCAAGATATTAACAATGATTAATTATGGCTGACAGGAATAAGATTTTCTGTAATTTTAAAGTTTGGAAAAAATCTAAGCTATTATGGAAGGTTTAGACAAGAAGTGACAGAGTTCTGGAAATAGTAAATAAGTACCACATATAAGGGACATATGATACTTTTATAAGATGATACTCCATATTATATTATACAAACTACAAAGCATGGATTCAGCATAAAGTATGAAGTATGACATGAAGGAGAAGTCAGAAGTGGATAATAATTGGCTTCTGTTAAGCAATCAGCACATTCATTAAACTGTTTTCTTTAATTTGCATTAATCTTAACCTACCATTGGTCCCATCCCCCTCTCTACTCTCCTGATGTACACACCATACTCCAGCCACACAGAGCTCCTCACCTTCAATGAATTCTTCAGGCATTTGCATGCTATTTTGCTTTGTTGCCACCATTCTTTCTACCTATAATTGCATCCTCTCCTCTGCATGATATAATTTAATGCTTCTTTTAAGATGCAATTTAAATATCACTTACTGCAGTGCATCTCAACCTTGGCTGCATATCCAAATCACCTAGGGAGCATTATAAAAATCCTGAGGCCCAGGCTCCAGCACCGCTATTCTGATTTAACTGCTCAGGGTTGGAGCCCAGGCAGTAGTATTTTTAAAAAGCTCCCTGAGTAATTCTAATACATGGCAGGGTTGAGAGTTGTTGCAAAACCTTCAGCAGTACCCACAAGCAGAGCTAATTATGCCCTGTTCTGCACTCCCATAGCCCTTAGCTTTTCCATTGCTCATGAAATTTAATGCTTACTATATTAAAGTTAGTGTTACATAGTAAGTGCTCAGTAAATGCTGAAGGTTCTTATGTTCCTTCTCCCTCCAATCAAGCATAGGCAGAAGTGGTTATTCTCACCATGGGAACTGGACAGCACAGTGAGCTGATGTTTCACATCCAGTGACACTGTCTGCCTGCTGGATTTATTTTGCAAATTTGCCAGGATGTCACTTAACAAACCAATATCCCTGATGAACATCGATGCAAAAATACTCAACAAAATATTAGCAAACCGAATTCAAAAAGATCATCCATCATGAT